TCCATCAATGGGCACTCCTTCCTGCACTTCCTCGAGAACGAGCGAGCATGCATTTGCATGTGAAACTACTCTTACTTGACACGCTTATTGTGCATGCATCTTTTACTGGTGGATGGAGCTGTCCTCGCACCGTGCCTGAATGGCTGCACCTGCCCAGCATGGAAGCTACATTTTCGGGCTTTCCTCGGCTCATGGCTTGGCCTGAAATTCACCCCGCAAACTTGCAGTCACGTGGGTACTTGTGACAACTCCAAAGCCCCTTTGGCTCACACCTGCCCAGCAATCCACCGTTCCACGTTTGAAAATGATGAAGCGTTCCCCAGGTATGTGACTCATTGCTGCTACACCTCCAGGAGGGATGCAAAAGGGGGCTCTAGCACTACTACTACTACTACTACTACTACTACCACCACCACTACCACCACTACTACTACTACTACTACTACTACTAATTACTACTAATTACTACTACTACTACTACTAATTACTACTACTGCCTCAGAATATTGTTCAATCCCAAATTTCCAGGTTGAAGACGTACTATGACTATGACTAGTGCATGCTTTGGCACATGGCCACTTCCCCTTTGAAGCCCTGAGGCATAGGTGCCTCGGGGCAGCCTCAAAACAAGGATGCACACACATCAAGTAAGCTTGGCCCACCGCACGCTTCCTCAGTCTGTACATTGGTGCATGCTGTGGCGCAAGGACTTCATCGGAGGGCTAGGCCAATATCGGAAATAGCAAAAGAACACAAGATACGATGCGGAGAGAAGAGGGGCCTCGCCGGGTGAACGTGTGTGTCCGAATGCCCCACCAATTCATCATCGGCCTTTTGAAAATCCTTCTAATCCAGCCCTGAGGGTTCACACGTCATGTGTTGTGTCAAGCTTCTGAGGGCAATCGGGTCAACACAGCTTCGCACATGTTGTTGCCAACCAGGAAAATGACGTGTGCGGTACTGACTGCATGAAAATGCGCACAGCATTAACCGGAAATGGCACATGATTTCTCAAACTGCTCTATGATGCTCTATGTTTCCATTCCCTGAAGACCAGGGCGCACACTCAACTCTGCCCCCAAATCCCATGTGTGACGCGCATGGGGCACACCTTCTGTCACAAGGTGGGCAGCCCTCCAATTCAAGCCAGACTTTGGGCTTCGCTGAGTCACGAATGTTGCCACCCCTACTTGTCTCTTACGTTCAAGCAGAAAGCACGCCAAAGAAAATTGGATGCTGAATCGCTGGCCTTCTTTCCGAGTCTCTTTCAAGCAGCGCAGCACGGCTTGCGCCTGGCCACATCCAACTTTTTCTGTGGTGCCTAATAGCGCCCTCAGAAGGCCGTCACAGTCTGGCCTCATCTTCGGAGGCCCAGCCCTGCAAGGCCTCCTGCAATGACACCACCCCTTCTAGCAAGGCCCTGGAACAGCATCTTCATTTTGCGGGAAACAGGTCTTGTCACCGAAAGGCCGAATGGCCGTATGAGAGTTTCTGCTACTCTGCTACCCCATCACGGGTAAGAGATGACATTCATGACCTTCCCTTGACAATGACTGACGCCACCCCTTGAATAGTGAAACCACCCAGGAGGTTTTGTCACAAGGAGAAAATGCTGATTGCAAAGAATCATATGGTCCCACTCAGATCCACTCGGTTTCCATGATAACTGCCATTGTGGAACCAAGCATCCTCTGATCAACCCTTTACCAAAATTGATCAAATGTGAATAGATTTCCAGTTTGAAGACATTATAAACCAAAGGAATCTAGGAAGTGAAGGAGATCCCCAGTTGAAATGGTACGTTATTTAGATTCATTTCATGAGCAGTTCCGTTAGAAAAGCGTTTTCAAAACAATGAACATCGAGGAAATGAGGGGATCCCCATATACAGTAACGCCCCATGTTCCTTGTAGTGATCCACCTAATTACCTCAGAGTTCGGCTATATGGTTCAGTCCACAGTAGTTACTTCAGTAGTTTTGGCATGTTTTGGCCCTGTCTGTTTAACAAGTTACTGGGCAATTCATGCGCATGTCGTGCTTGGGTTGGGGCAACTTTTTCGGGATGTTGCAGGTATTTGACGCCTCATGCCGTCCGGAGGCTAACGCATGTTGAGAAGAATGCCAGGTGTCCTGCAACGCTTGGCGAAAGTTTTCCCTGTCCAGGCTCGAGGGAGAACCAAATTTTGCAAGGATCCGATCCACCTCCGGTGAGCAAACTTCTTGATTTCAGATATCGTCTACGAGCGCAAGAAAAAATGGTTTCCGTAGACCTGGAAGATTCTGGCCTACAAATCTAACGACTGGTGTGTTGTACATGTCTCGCAATTGTCTGTGAGCTCCTTTGCTCTTTATATTCAAACAATGTCACTCCCTCGCGCCTCTGACTCAGATGAGTTCATGCCGAGTCGACGTAGCACCGTCACAAGGTGCTGAGAGGAGACCTTCCCATTCTTTTGGAAGAGCTCCTCAAGTGAAACCTGATCTGTTGCACACGCAGTCAGCTGACGGCTGCTTCTGCCACATCCCATGATGGAGAACATAGCTAGCCATTGGCCATTGCCCCTTGTACTTCTGTCACATTGTGAAGCGCAAGTGCAGAAAAGCAGCACTCTGGGATGCCATGACGAGCGACGTATGAATTCCTAAATGCTCCAGCTGAAGCGTTTACATCTAACATGCTGAAGACACCTTCAGTTGGTTGCTGACCTCGGGACTAGTCTCAGATTGCGTCATGCTTCAGTTTAGCCGGAACTTGAGAAATCCGCTCCGGTCATCCTGGGATGCAGAATTTGAGTTGCAGGTGCGCGCATTTTCTGCGAACATGGTGATGGAACTCTGGCTGCCTTTTTCCACACCACCCTTGCTCTTGGCTTCCTGAAGATTTGCCAGGAAGCTGATTGATGGTTTCGTGCAAGGAAAAAACCTCCTCTAGGGCTACCCGCTTGCGCGAGCTTGGTGCTGGACGGTCTGAAGCCCTCTTTGGATGCTTCACTCTACGTCCTCAGGAAGTGGGCTGCTTGTCGCTTCGAGCAGCTGACTGCGCAAGGACTCAGACTGGAGAGTGCGGTAACATTAGCAAAAAGAACCATGGGACATGTGACGGCCATGTCGCGCCTGGCTTGGCTCATGGTAGTTGCATGCCTCAGACAAGCGAATGATCGGAAAAGCGTCCAAGACTCATGTCCCAGAAGAAGAGGAAGACACAGGCAGGAACAAAAGGCTGAAGAATGACGCTGAAATAACAGAAGGCTTCAAGCTGACGAGGCAAGCAGCACGAATTCTCTTCACGTACCAACCCTCCAGCCTTGCAGGAGGAAGCGTCGTAAGGACCAGTGCTCCCACCCTATAGCACAAGCCTGGCACCCTGAACATGATGCTGAAGGTGTGCAAAGTCTGTTAGAAACCAATTGCCTCTGGTCCTGTGGCCCGGACAACATTCAAGCAGCGCTGGAATCCGCAATATTCTGGATTATTCAGCGCATACATTCCGCTTGGCTCTACTGGATGCAAGAATTCCCCAACAAGAATTGGCTGCTGCTTCAGGTCCTACTATACATACCTAAAATGAGTTGTGAAGCTGCAGTTGATTTCTCACTCTCTCTGCCGGCATACGGACATGCAAACATACAGTGCACTGCGCTTGGTGCAATGGGGCGTGGACCCAACTGGTGTGGCTACGTACAGGACCCTCACGCCCGCACCACCCCTCACTCCCAGCGCCCCACGGTAATCATACGTAAAGATCATGGCAACGTGTTTGGATTCTAGAGGTCTTTGAGTGAAAGCCTACTTGTACCATTCATCAGACTCATCAGAAAAGTCCAAAACCAGCCCAGCAAGATCCAGCAAGATTCCCTGCCACCCAAGGCCTGCACTCAGCTTGCTCCCCTCTTGTCCACAAGTAATCCTTGTGCAGCTACCTTCCTAGGTTCTAGCGACTGTGGCGTCGGAAGCATGGGGAAATAACTGGCCGCTGCTTTCGGACAATCTG